CTTTCTTTGGCCGCCCTAGTTTATAAATGAACAATATAAAACACATGTAATAAGTGTGATGAATGATGATAGTGATAATTAACGATAGTAATAAACCACACATGTGCACATACGTGTCACATGTGAAGAACTTTGTATAAAGTGCCTTGAGATTAAATATATTGTGATTTGTGAACATATACAACTGAAACTTAACTTATATTAACAAATAACAAATATCCCAGGAGGAAAACTGAAATCTATGTTGGTTTAATGAAATGTGTCACATGTAAAACATCTGGAAACTAAATGTTTGCGTGAATGTGAATCTCTTCGTGTGTTTATCACCTGTAACACCAACACACCTGAAGGTGACATCAGTGTTCTGTGACCACACGGTTTCCAGCTCCCGCGCTCGTTCACCTGCTCACTCAGCAGCAGGACTGGGATTCTGATTGTTGTGTGACTGGTTGAACCTGCTCAGGTTAAGACCCTCGGGCACCGCTGACGTTGGGAAACAGTAAAGCTCGTCAAAAGCTGTTAACTCTTTAACATTTGTTGTTGTCAGAATGAAAGTCAGGTTCAATCCTCTCAACATCCATCGTGTCATCTGACGGATTTAAGAAGAGGAGATCTGCTGAAACATGACGGACGAGAAAAGAATCACATACATGTAATCCCTGAACACGTTCTTCGGGGATAAAGACACATAATGTTTGTTTTCAGCAGTGTTGTTAAATCTAAAGTATGAGTTTCAACTAAAATGCCAAATACCACTTGACAGGTGAGAGTGAATTCATGCACTTTAAATGAATTTCCACCTCTGGCTGATGTTTTCATCTAAATCAGATGAATATAAATCCTGTTAACCTGCAGCTTCACACTCAGTGATTCATCAGCGTGTGAACAAAGACACAGACAATTAACACACAATTCAAAAATATGAAGTTTAAACAATCAGATCCATATTTTATGAAACAATTTTAAAATATCAGGAGAGAAGGTGCAGTCACTCTTCAAACTTAATTTCATAAACTTTCTACAGTATATATATATATATATATATATATAAACAAATATATAAATACATATACAAAAACAAAACTTCCCATCACCATCTTCTAGGCCCCTGTACAGTGCATGACTGTATCATTGCAGCGCCCCCATGTGTCTAAATTTAAAACGACATTTGACGTGAATGTGATTCTGTCTTATTGTGAATATTTTCTCAGTAGAAAACATTTTATTGAACATGGTTATTCTATATTATAGAACATTTAGGCCAATAACATTTTATACAATGAAAAAATGTCGTATGCTCAGAATCTATCGTTGTGTGTTCTTGAAATTTAATATATTGTGATGATGTTTTGCATAATTGTAGATGATTAGAAATAATTACAAATGTCAAGGATGCAAGGAAATTAAATATGAATTTATTTCACAATATATTGCTATAATACAGTTAAAGGCCAGTAAATCACACCAAGCTTCACATTTTTTAAACTTTCTAAGGCACTTTGACAAAATTCATGAAAATAAAAACTATTTATTTACTAAGCATCTGTGAATTTACACCCTAATAACATGAAATACTACAAATATTCGTCGTCATAAGAAACTGAGATAAATATACACATTTGAGAAAGATTGAAATGATTTTTAAATGATGATTGAAGTCATCTTGAGAAATTAACTGGTTCTTTTCATTTAAACACCTGAAACCAGAGAGATCTCCGCTCTCACATCTCTATATAAATATATGATTGTGAAATAAAAGCAGTGAAATATTCTTTTCTGTAACGTGTGACTTTATAATTAGAGGATTGCGTTTCTCCCCTCAGGGATCCAGCCACTGAGGAGTTTCAATATGAACATTTACAAAGTCAAAAGGATCAAACATCAAAGAGTAGAGGAAGAACTGAAACTCATTTCTCGTTTGTTAAATTAGCAGCAAAGTAGAAAAAGAGAAGAAGCAGCAGCTTGATAGTGTTTTACATTAAAACTCAATGATCCTGATACACACACACACACACACACACACACACATGTTCGTATCAAACCGTGTGATTCGGACACACGTTTGATTCGTGATGTCACAGAGGCACAGCGGAGACTCTGACGTGAACATGTTACCGTCTGTCGTCACGTCACATTACTGACGTCCTGGTGTCTTGATGCCGCAGGACTGCAGAGGTCAAAGGTCACAGGAGCAGGGAGCTGGTCACTCACTGGAAAATAAAGATGTCATTTTCACCTTTAGGTGACTCAGCACGCCCGATCACAACGGTGAAGACTGACTTGAATTGACGTCACAACATGGCAGCGTTTACTTTGGGATAACGGGAGGAGGTGGCGACGTGTCGTCCATCTTTATTTACAGTCTCTGATAAGAATAATAACGAACAAACGCTGCAGGCTTAAAGGTTACACGACAAGTACGAGGCCGGCAGATAAATACAAAGCCCACACTTCCTTTTCACCCTCAGTATAATTCATGAATCCCCCTGTTTTCTGTCAGAGGCTTAGAGATTATGAACTCCGACGTCTGGAGGCGTCCCACCGAGTGGAGCTGCTTAATGTGCGCTGAGGAACAGCTCTGTGTAAGCCTGAATCAGGATTTTGAGGTTATGTAAGAGAAGTGCTGCAGAAAAGGAACTCGAGGAGGTTTTGAGTCACGGACGTCACGGGAGGCCAGTGGGACCCAAACACTTCTACCACCACCATGAGAGAACGGTGCATGCTGGGAAAGCAGTAAGTAGCTGCTTTCCGACGAGCACTGAGGTCCAGACAGGCTTTCTGTATGTAACGTCCAAGTCAGTTACGTGGACGTTAAGATAAATAACACCAACCTAAAAGTATTTAAGACTTTGGATGTAATATATTTCACATATTTAAAGTGTTTTTAAGGCCGATTATTTAAGATTAACCTGCAGAAAATCAGACAATAAAACAAGAGATGATGACGAGATGATAATAACTGAGTTCTTATCATGAAGAAAACAAACGGGGATATTTTGTATTTTACTTGGTGGGAAAATTAGATGATTCTAAACAAAGGAACAAACATTGACAGTGAGATAAACGTAGAATAAAACCAGCCTCATTATTATTTTGTTGATAAAAATAAAATACTTCATACTAAGTAGACGTCGAGCTCGGAGTCTGACTGGCTTCTGCTGAGGGACTGGAGAGGATCGTCCAGAGCGATGGTTGCACTGGAGTCTCGTCTGTCTTCACTGCAACACAGAAATACTGATGGATATAACTTCACATGTACAAATATTACTTTTATTTAACAGAAAAGTTAAAGAAGTACTACTACTTGAGTACATTTGGTTAATGTATTTAAACTTTCTGAGTACTCTCTCTATAACTGGTTTCAGACTTTATGTTGAATGATAATTAAACTCGTCTCAGATCTGAGAACTGAACACATACACAACCTGTTTTCTGGATCCTCTTCGAGGCCTCGACTGGGCTCAAAGGAGACGACGGATCTCTGCAGAAGGTCTGGTTGTTTGGAGGAACTGTAAACTGTTGCAACAGGCACTTCATCAATCACTGAATCAAATACAGGAGCAGAGAGATCAGGTCTGCCCCTGAAACGAGGTGTTGTACATGTTGGTTCAAAGCTTTAAAATCTCACAGTTTCCATCCAGGTTGTCCAAGCTCTGCGCTTTCTTCTCCTGCTGCCTCTCCTCCTTCTGTGGGGACAGAAACTCTTGAGACGCCGACTTCGCTGCATTCAGGGAACTCCTCTTCCTCTTGGACGACGCTCCTCTTAGAGCTGAGAGACGAGGGAACAGAGCATTGGAGTCAAATGTCCTCTGCAGGATGCAGCGGTGACAGTGTGACGGCTGAACGACTTACGATGGATCTTCTTGAACACGGTCGAGCCCATGAACTTCAGAAATCGATCTGCATAAAAACTGGGCCTGTGAACTGACACCGTGTCCTGAAAGACCCAGAGAGATGAGTCAGATAAAAGTCCACACACACACACATGAACAGATACATGACGTGTAGAGGGTGTACATTACATACCCCATCATGCACCAGGGATTTCCAGGAGTGTTCCACCTTCTTAATGAACCTGCAAATATCAGTTTGTACCAAGTTTAATAACAATAATAACTCAGATACTGTTTTTTAAATATATCACCCAAAAATATTGTGTGTGTGGTTTATTCACCTGTAGGACTGAAGGATGTCAATGATTCCTAAAAAGATGAGCAGGTTCTCATCCTTGTGTTTGGCAGGAATTCCGCCCAATCTGGGAAAAAAATATATTTTTAATAATAAACCAGAATTATGTTTTTTACTTCTCACACTTTAGTGAAATAAATTAAACCCATGTAAACCTGTCAAACAGTTGTATCAGTAGATTAGTAATTCCTGTGTTTGAGTGAGTGTGAAACACAGTCAGACCTCAAACACACTTTAACAGTAAACGTCTTTGTTTTCCTTTTCCACACTGAATAAAAAACAAAAATCAAGCAGCAAAATGACTCAACTGTGTTTCCACATATCATAAAAGTTTCCTCACGTGTCGTCATCGGCCACAGGCTCAGGGTCCTTGACGTTCCCCTGGATGGACTCCAGGGCGGTGGAGTACAGGACCTTCTGTCCTCTCCTGCTGTCACAGCGACTTCCTCTGGTCATCGGCTTCCGGTCCAGAACATGGATCCCCAGCAGGAGACTGTAGTCCATGATCTTAAAGCTCTCCAACACCTGAGGGGCAGAAACCCAGAGAGAGGAACCAACATTAAAAAATCAAAGTGCAGAGGTTGAAGTGAGACACAGGAAGATTAAAGTCCTGATAAAATTCATTACGAGAGTCTATTTTCATATGAAGCCCATTGTCCTGCAGCAGAACTGGGACACAGCTTTGCATCCATGACCTCTGACCTTCATATGAAAGAGGAGAATGTTCAGTATAAATGTTATTTGGGGGTTTTCTGTCATCTTCTTGGTGTTTTACCAGGAGATATTAAATCGTTTATCTCAAAAATAGAACCTAAATGTAATATTTCCAGTGAAACCATCAGTTTAATCACTAGTTATCTAACTAAACCATTAACATGTTTACTGTAACTGTAAACAAAGAGGTCTCACTTTTCCCCTGTTACCTAACTCACTCACTCACTCACTCACACACACACACACACACACACACACACACACACACACACACACACTGAGGCCCCATACGAGCACATGACTCCCAGACGGGTCCAGCTGCTCGGATTAAACACACCAGTCAGGTGCTTCGCTTTGCTGGAGCTTAATCCTCCATCAAGTGGCCGCTATTGTTTCAAGCTAATCAAGTAACAGGCGGCCGCTAATGAGGTCATCATAACAGCTCCGGCCTGAACCGAAGGGGATCGTCATGGTTACATAACGTTATCGAGGGGGGGGGGGTGAAAACCAAGGAGAATTTAGTTTCCGACGTTTTTCTCGGTTTTTTTATCTTAAAAATCAAATATATTGAGTCATGAGGTGTCTAAGCTTCTGACTGTAGCTTCCCAGATTTTACTGGTGCGATTAAATTATCTTTAATATTATAATTATAGTTTGTTGCACAGGCCTTCCCCTCTACGTTGAAGTTACTAACTGCCCTAGTATAATATACGACGTTTACGTGAACACACCCGACAGTCCCTCTGCAGAGTCTTCATCAGGGCGTTGTATGTGTCGGTGTCGAAGTGCAGGCCCTCGTGCATCTCGTGGAAGTCCAGGTCCTTGAACGTGGGCGAGGTCTTGGCGCGCTCCTTGCGTGAGGCGCGGCGTTTGTACGAGGACCCCTTCAGGTCGTACTTGTAATGCATCTTCATGACTCGCGGCAGCACGTTGTTCATCACCACCATGCGGACGGTGACCCCGCCGCACTGGATGCAGTACAGACCGTAGAACTTGGGCAGCAACGTCCTCGGATTCTGGTCCAGATTCTGAAATAACAAAAGGCGAACAGAGAAACTGAGTTCTAGACATATTTAGAGGGTTTATCGTCAAGATGTTCTCGTTGGTCCATGAAAGGATCTTCACGAGATAAATCCAAACTATGACAACGATTTAAACTGTGACCAGTTTAACCAGTTTATCTTATTGATCACATGATGTCTGTTCTGTTTTCCTGTGTGCAGCTCACCATGTAGTAACCAGGCAGCAGCTTCTGCAGGAACTCGGCCTCCTTGTGCTGCACCGTCTTAATGATGAACTCGTCATCACTGGTGAGGTAGAACCAGGAGCTGCTCGCTCCGGGGTTGGTGAGCTCGATCAGAGGCTCGTTACAGATGGAGTACTGAAAGTCACAACGAGGCCACGCTGTCAAACGTCTCATCCTCCACCACTTTGTGCCGAATCAGAATGATGAGGACGTGATTTGATGTGTTTGCGAGTCTCTCACCAGGTAGTCGTCCGGTTTGATTCCAAACAGCTCTCGGAAGTAGCGGAAGGCCAGAGGGGCGTACGTCTTCAGACGGAAATCTGGGAAGTGATGTGCTGGAGTCAGGTTGCTGCCCTCGCTACAGAACAAACAATTCATTGTTATTATTGTGAGAAAAAAAGTCATTATATGCTATAATACAACAGCTTCATGCTTCATGCTGCAGCTCTTTTAACATTCTGACAGGTCACGGTAGGAAAAACTACATTTTGTGATGCTTTACTTTCAGGGTCCTGTGTTTTCTGTCTAAATAACAAATATTCAGGTTGTGCACCTCCCAAAGATGTTTTATTAGAAATATGAATACAGGGGACATATTTCTTCAAGGTAAACTGTAGTAATGTAAAGTTTAATATACTTTGCAAGAGTTTGATCGGCTGGAGAAGTTCCCATGAAAGCAGTGACACGCTGTAAATCACTTTTTTTTTTTTTTCACTGTTAGTGAACTGAGCCTCTCAGTGCATTATGTGGAAACTGAGAGGAGCTCGAGTGAGCGTGTACCTGGGCAGGAAGACGCTCTCCACCACAGAGAAATCCTGCATGAGAACATCTCTGTCTGGTTTGGAGCTGAGGTTTCCAACTGCATAACTGATACCCAGCTGGATGGCTTCTTTCAAGATGGCTGCCGTGGGCTGAGAGAAGAAAGACAGACTTTTAAAAAAAGATCTTCACATCATTGACATTTCAATTTGATGATATTTTTGTTTATGACCTGCGATGACACTGTGTCACTCAATCAAGTTAGCATTTTGATTTTAAGCGGCGAATAGAATTTATATAAAGAAAGTGTGACAGAGTGAGGAGCGTAACGTAAATTTGACAAAATAACATTTTGTTTATTTGGTCAAATTGAAAATGTCTCTCAACCAAATCAACTCCACATTTAACAACGAAGACTATTTCACTATAGTTAAAGTCTTTCTCATTGATTTGAGATTTATTGAAACTGAAATCCATCCTTCAAACCTTAATTTCCCACAGAGGGAAGCTTAATCTGAGGGAAGCTGGTTTACGTACTGGGTTAAATAAAAGAATAAAAACTCCTCATTATAACATCAAATTAAGTTAATAATAATGATGATAATAATAAGTTGGATCTAAGCATAAAGCACTGCAAAGTAAAACAGGGTTAGGAAAATGATTGTTGTAAATCTTGACCTTGTTAGTTTTTGAGATTCCAGTCATACAAAGTGAAACCTGTTGTTTTTGTGACAGTGTCATGTTTCAGTTCTTCCCTTTTTTCTTCCTCAGGTAAAAAAAAACATGACAATGAAAAAACGACGTCCACTCACCTTTGACACTTTGGAGGTTTTGGTTCCTCCTCCCAGTCGTTTGGTGTTTGCAGTTGACATCTATTGAACAGAGAGAGAGAAGTTGATTAGAGGGAAGCTCTGTGACCTGTGATGTGATGTGACTTCCTTTTCTCCTCCATCCACGACGAGTGAAGCGATTTACCTTGGACGGACTTTTACAGAAACTGCATTTTCCAGGTGCACGGCTCCTGTAGGTGAGGCGCAGAGAAGAGCGCTCACACGGTGTGGGACATTTGCATGAATGTCAATGCAAAGCACGCGTCAGCTGGTGAAAAACTGCACGACTACCAGCGATTACTCAAGTTGCATTAGTGTCTCGGGGCTTAAAGAAAATCTCTTCTTCTCCCAGAAAACCTAAAAACTTGTTTCCAATCCCTGGTGCAGACCTGACTGTGTGAGCTGCAGATCTGAGAGACCTCCAGTGTTTGTGCGAGTCTTTAACCCCAGAATCCATCACAGCAACCTCTGATCCCAATTAAGAAGGATCAGAAAATCATGACGTATGAAATCCGCCTGTTTTATAACAGTACGCGGAGGAGACTGGGTCCAGGTCTGAACGGGGGGGGGGCAGATTAGTGGACGACCCACTGTCCCTCCTGAGCAGTAGCTGCTCACAGCCAGTCGATAGAACAGGCTCTGTTTGGGTTAAGGTTTTAGTTTCAANGGGGGGGGGGGGGGGGGGGGGGGGGGGGGGGGGGGGGGGGGGGGGGGGGGGGCTGCATGTTTGGAGGTGTGAGGGGAGGGGTGCAATCTGCAACCTCACAGCTAGATGTCATTAAATCCCTCACGGGTCTCTTACGCAACATATCCACAGAGGAGCAGGAACTGTCTGTTAATAATAAAATATAATTTGGAAGAACACACTTCAGCGTCTTGAGTGAACCCTCCGAAGTCAAGCTCAGACCAGCCGTGTTTATTTTCAGCACTGCCGCAGGATGTGGTAACGTGCTGTGACTCATGCAGAATGAAAGTGTTGCACAAGCGCTGCGATGGGAACGTTTCTCAAAGACGTGCAGTTCTTCAGGTTTGACGCCGCAGAGATGAAGATTGTTTCCTTTTTTTTTTAGGCTCATTAATGATTGTGAACGGTGTTGATTATATTAAAATACAGAGTCTCTCTCAGGTTAATTCAGGTTTTCTCTGCAGAGCTTTACGTATTGAAAACACAGAGTGACATAACGGTACAGCCAGGGTGAAAACATGTTGGATTAGATATTTGAAAGTAAGTTTGTGCTCTGCGTGCTTAAACTGATTATATCATACACTCAGCTTTACAGTCACCACGACGAGGTAATGTCCTTAGATCGGTAAAACTGAAAATAAATCCGATTGCTAATTAACAATGAACCAAACACAAAAACAGAAATAGGAAGTGTTCTAGTTGTATCTACTTTAACACTGTATATTTAATGAGCAATTGTTTTGCACAACATTGATCTCGGGAATAAAAAAACAGAACCAGTGTGCGGCTACTTCCCTGACAGTAATTTATACTTTGGTTCTTCACTTTTTGAAGTATTCATGACAACGTGTTAACTCTTGCTAGAATGAAATGCACTTCTGAGTTTTCTGCTTCAAATGACACATGCATGTACAGTATACACAGTATTTACAGTATATACAGTATGCACAGTATATACAGTATTTACAGTATTTACAGTATATACAGTATGCACAGTATATACAGTATGCACAGTATATACAGTATGCACAGTATGTACAGTATGCACAGTATATACAGTATGTATAGTATGCACAGTATATACAGTATGTAACGTATATACAATATGCACATTATGCACAGTATATACAGTATGCACAGTATGCACAGTATATACAGTATCATCAACACGTCCATTTTCTGCTAATTTAACTCAGCGCTGCAGGAAACGTTCAGAAAACGTCCAGAGCAACTGATTCGGACGTTTGCGTTTCACATCCAGAACCTCTGGATCATTTCAGCAGGACGTCCAGAGTTCAGGTCAAAGGATTCATCCTCGAGGAACCATGAACGATGTGTCCGTGTGGAGGTTCAACCCGAGAACTATAGTCCCCAGTCTTTTACTTTAATATACATTAAATATTATAGTAGTACTATCGTGTGGTAATACCAGAGTTGAACTATAGAAGTCAACAGGAAAACAATCTACAGCCTCCAACATGAGCGTAAAGTTTAATAAACAAAGAAAGTTGACAGTAGGAGTTAGTACAGGGGTGAGTTGAGTATATGAAATACAAACACTGTGTATTTCAATAAACCTTCACACACGCACACAGCAGCTCGTTTGCATACATGCAAAACCATCAAAACCCCTCGAGCGACATTGCTGTGTCTGTGACTGAGGTGAAGGGAAGTGGAGCTGGTTTCCTCCTGTGATACCATCATCAGCTCCTCTTCCTCCCGAGCCTCACACACAAGACCCAGAGGTCGTCGTATCACGGTCATGAGGCCGAGCAGAAACTGAAGCTGCAGCAGAAGTGAAACGTTGGCTCCATCGTCCCTGAACAAAGAAAGATGACGTGTGAGGCTCTTACCTGAAAACATGTGGTCCTGAGCTGTGATGTGAAAACTCTGATCTGATGTCTGTGAGATGAAGCGACAGCATCCTCACCACTTCCTCTTTCTCTCTCTCTCTCTCTCTCTCTCTCCCTCCACCTGACGTATTATTCCAGTGAACCTGAGTCACACTTGTTGAAGTTGGAAGGTGGGAAAAGGATTTTTTTTTTTTTCAGTTTTTAATTTATTCTTTATATCCATTTTGTTTTGTGTTATTTCAATTGAAATTGCATTTTATACATTTTCCATCTTCATTTAACCTTTTAAACATTTTAGGTTTATTATCTGTATGATTATATTATTGAACCATGATTTTAAAGTAAGTTTGAAACGATAACATGAATAATGTTTGCTATGATGACCATGTTGATTATTTAGTAGATGTTGAGCAGCACATGTTATTATCTATACCTACTTGTTTTGTATGGAATTGAATTATTGTGTTGAGAAGAGGAAAAAGAGAAATGTAAGAAAATGAGGTGAGTAACAGGAAATTCAATTTATTCTGTAAACTGAACTTGAACTAGTGTTGCAATGAAACTAAATACATTTATTAAAATACAATACAAATACAATAGTAATTGCTTCAACAGCCGTAGTTAAGGGTTCAGGTTTTAGATATAATGAGATTAATGGTTCTCAGCCTCTTTGGACTGAGACAAAACATAAAATACAAAACGAAATGATAAAACAAAATGAAATGAAAGAGTTAGTTTCTCCCTCTGACCTCTAGGAGGTGCTGCTGCAGCTCGGCCACCTGTTTGGTGATGATGTGTATTAAATGTGCACCATGTTCCTGTTCTGTTGTTTTCATTTGTCTTCCCTCTTTTAGTTCCTTTCCGTTTTGGTAGTTTACTCTCTTGCTCCTTTGTGGTAACCATGTGTCTCCGTGTCTCACCCTCTCTTCCTCTCTTTGTCTCTCGTCCTCTAACTGGGCCAGAGTTCAAGCTGTCGAGGTTTGTTTGGGAACACCGGAGGGGACAGGCTGCCTGCGAGTCGGCCGTCAACACGGTGACTTGAGGCCATGAGATATCAGCTCGGTCCTCCAGGGTTCAAACCTGAACCTCTGGCACATTTGGCCCGAGAGGCAGCTGTGAGGCTCGGATTAGATGTTCTGTTATTTACAGGATCTCTGCAGGGAGGAAATGGCTCCGCCTGGGTTCGAGGTTCAGAACTTAGAGGCGAGAGCCCAACAAAGAAACCAAACATCTCCGATTATATAAGGTCACGACTCTGGAGCTTGTACACTTCGTCCCCTAATGAGCAGGTTGAAGACATGTGCACATGTACCACAGCACTAAGCAGAGCTCATTCCTTATGAAACAACACTTCAGTTCACTGGATCTGCACCAAATCACTCACAGTTATCAGTTCACTAAACATGTACGTGAGCTCGCACCAGAACAACACTGTGCAGAAAACCTCCGGCTGCGTCGTGCACGTGTGAAAGGAAAACTGGTCGTAAAATGATTTTAACATTTGATTGAGTGAAAAAGCCTGAAAGGTGGCAGTTTGTAAATTCCTCCTTGATTCGATTGTGTGATTGTGTGACTGTGTTTTGCGGAGTGAAGGTTTCTCTGACTTCGTCGTCGAGCCACAATATTGTTGAAGTCAGAGCCACAACACGACGACTCGACAACAAGTGTGATTATCTGAACTCTTTAGAAAACAGAGGCTCAACCTACATTGAAGCTTTTTCTCTTTTGTAATCGGAACGTTGTGTTGGAAAGTCAAATGTGTGTGTTTATCTAAATTGGATTCTGTGAGCGTCAGATGTTCATTGAGTCAATTTCACCAAATCATTTTCTCTGCTGCCGGTGGGAGGACTTGTTTCCAGCGTCTGTGTTGATGCAGCTGCTCATCAGACACAGTCGGAGTCAGAGTCTGGCCTCAGTGCTGCAGGGACGCCGTCAGACGCCTAAAACACACACACACACACACAAACACACACACACACACACACATATATATGTGTGTTAAATGCACTTCATTGCTTTGTTTTGGATAAAATGTGCAAAATAAATCTCTACTGTAAATATGAATATGAATAAAGTTTCCGAACACTATCACTTTCAGTCTTTAATCAGACATCCGGGTACGTCAGTTGTGCACATCATGAGAATTTAATGTGTCCACAAATTGCAAAAGGCACCCGACGCGTCCAGTGTTGCCACATATTTCTTATGCAAATACGTTAGTTCTGTGGAGAGCCTTCACGTGGAATACTCCAGTGACTCATTGAGTCTTATTGATTAACTACTTCTTTCTTCTTCTTCGTGGATTAAGATCTTCACGTCTAAAGAGAATGAAGAGTCTCACCCTGAGGTTACGGACGTGTTTCTCCAGATGTTCAATGCGCTGCAGGCGTCTGTCGATCAGTTTGTCTCTGGCTGAAACCACTGAGGTCAGACCGGCCAGACGTCGGGTCTGTTTGTCCACAACAACCTGCAACACAATCAGACAAGTAGTCAACAAGAAGTCCACTCATGGTCACACGTATGTGGACATCCTCCCCCCAGTTCCAGTGAAGGGAAGTTTTAATGCGACAGCTACACAGTTATTTTGAAACAATTCTCCACTTCCAACTTGTTTCAACACATCGATTTTCAGAGGTTTAGTTCTGTTTTCTTTTCTTTGTTCACCTTCATTGAGCTGACGTCGAGCTGAGCCTGACCCCGTGACCCCGGCTCGGTCAGGCCGCGGACTCTCCGGAGGACCCGGTCCAGCCGGTGCTGCGACGTCCTCTGCTCCGTCTCCAGATCCTCCAGCAGCTTCTGCAGCTCTTTGACCGTCCTCCACAGTCTGTCCCCACGAGCACTCAGGATCTGCAGGTCCTTCCTCGCCTCAAGGACAGAACATCACACATTATTCAGGATAATAGTCACCACGGTATCTTCACGTGATTTTATCCCTTCAGTCATTTTAAATTGTCCTCACTTTGTAAAGGGTCCCTCTTTCAAACTACGAAGCCGTCTCCTTTCAAAACTTAACGTTTGATCCTTAATTTGCTGTTTACCTACATATTTAAATGTAAGTGTCTTTATTTTTCTGTGGAATCCAACACATTTAGAAAAGCAAGCTGCAGCTGAGCATCATTCAAACCAGCAGAATCATTTCAAACTCTGAAGCAGATCCCAAATATTTCTGGGCCTGTGATTCAGAAAACAGGGTAAAGTTGAAAGTTGTATTTCCTCAGTAGAGTGTGACTCTTCCTCACCTGCCTGTGAGTCCGTCCCGCCTGTAAACTCTGCTTATGAAGCGTCTCCACGCTCCTGGTGACCCCGTCCAGCTCGGCCGCCACCTGCTCCCCCTGACGCTCCAGCTGCCCGGCGTTCTCCTCCACCCCGTGCAGCAGGTGAGCAAGGCCCAGCGAGAGCATCCTCAGCTGGGGCTGGGGGACCTCACCTGCCTCCCCTGACACGGAGGCCTCCTCCGCCGGCAGGACCTGGTGGGCCGTGCAGACTCCCACCAGCAGGACAGACAGCTGCAGCACCTGTCTCACCATCATGGTGATGTAAAGACCCTAAATCTGATCTCACACCAGGTCTCACAGGCCGAGATGAATCCGCATCAGTGTGGGTGCAACTGTCCTGATTTCATCTGTGATGCTCTGAGGTCTGGAGCTCAGAGTGGTGAAGGACAGAGAGAGAGAGGGATGAGGGGAGGAAGGAGAAGGAGGACAAGGTTTGGGGGGGGG